CTATCGGCCGACCACCACTTATGAGTTGCCCACAGCTATCGATCGCAGCATTTGAAAATGTTAAAAAAATATATAAATATGTGTACACTAAAAAATATAGCTAATAGCCTCTGCCCACTGAACACATTTCTGAAAATGTCACATTTTTGCAAAATGTGTAAAATGCGGCCTGTACGTTTCCCCATAAGAAAACACATTTCACACATTTTTAAAAATGTCACATTTTTTAAAAATGTGTAAATTCGCCCCGAACTTTTCGTGTATTTTGCGATGATTAATCGAGATTTCTATCGATGTTGTGAAAAATGTAAACATAAACCAGCTGATATTGCAACGAAGGCAAGCGGTAACTTTAAATTATAATTTTAAATTTTAATAATCCCACAGTTTGTAACATTTAAAATTGGCCAAATCTCGCAAAGAGTCAATTAAACGGAGCCCCTACTTCGGGGCCGTATTATTTGACTTTTGGAAGGAAATCTGTGCGGCGCTTTTGTAAATTAAAGCAACTCGATCAGCTGTTTATTTAAAGAAACAGTACTTTTGCCACTCACATGTTACCGAAAACCGGTGGAACACCAATATGTAAAACTTGAAAATGTGACATTTTTAAGCCCAGTGGACAAAGGCTATAAAATACATATTATATAATATGTTATAAAAACTTGTAGTATAAAAATGTCAATTGTTAATCTACCATGTAGTCAAAGTTATTGCTCAGAGATTTTAGTATCTTCTCTAATATCTTTATATTAAATATATGTACTATAGCCTAAAAAATATTAAAAATACGTTAACTCTTTATAAGTGAAACACACAATTCAAGGTTTCTAAAATACTGTGCACTTAATTTAATAAGTTATTTAGTTTTAGTTTCAAAAGCAATTACACAATTAAATGCGCGCTCTTTGCACTAGGTTCGAAATTACATCCCTCAATTCTCCTTCTTCTGGCTAGCAGCAACCCGCCAAGCACCCACCATATATCTCAGCCAGATCATGAACAAATCAATGCCCATTTGCAACCATGACCAGAACGGTGACAATTTCGAGCCCTCAATTTCGGTCCATCGCACAGCCACCTCCGACAAGGGCAACTGCAGCCGCTCGGCCAGATAAAGCAGCTCCACGTCAAAGGCCCAGCGCTGCACATGCAAACTATTGAATAGCTTGCGCGCCGTGGCACGCGTGAAGAGCTTAAAGCCGCACTGGGTGTCCCGGACAGAGCGTACGGCAAAAATCCAGACAAGCGTGTGAAATCCATGCATCAGTATGGTGCTAAATAAAGAGAGAAATATAGATAATATTAATTAGGATTTGATAATTCCAGTAAAAGTTGAGCATACAGCCATTTCTAGCTAAACTTGGCTGTTTTCAGTGATTGTCAGCTGGAAATAGTTAAAATTGTAGCTGATTTAGCTATTTTTAGCAATTCAATTACTGCCAATTTGCACTTCGGCTATTTTTAGCTATGTTTAACATTGGATTCAGCTACAGTTGGCAACACTGACGGCTTACCGGAGAAAACTGCGCGTGGCAATCGACTCATCCTCGAGATGAGCACGTGACCCAATGGCAATGCCATCGTGTCGCCATTCGGGCGCCAGGCTGGACAATGCCTCGGCCAGCTTATCATAGTCGGCAAATTTGGTGGCACCATCCGCATCCGCGAAGAGCAGCTGGCGACCGCGCGCGCTCAGCATGCCCAGCCGCACGGCGCCGCCCTTGCCGCGATTCTCCACCAGCTCCAGCACACGAAACTTATCAGCTCCATGGATCTTGGAGTATTTCAGGGCCACGGAAACTGTTGCATCGCTGCTGCCATCGCTGACCACAATGACCTCATAGCTAAAATCGGGCTGCTGCTGGGCCTTCTCTGCCAGAAAGGCCATGCACTCGTCCAACATGGCGGGCACTGTATATGGAAAATGAATCATGTGATGGATTACTCATAAAGATCAATCAAAATATAAAAGTGGAGAGCGTACGGCGCTGCTGCTCATTGTAAGCCGGCACAATGACGCTCAGCTCCAAGGTGGGCGGGTCGTCCAAACTGGGAAATGCAATTGTTTTAATCGTTTCGGGATCCAAGTAGAACTTCTCATCCTTGTAGCGCGTTATGTTCGGATATGGCTGCGTTTTGTACAGCAAAACAATTATCGTCTGCAAAATGTGCGAAAAGTTATCAATCAATGTCGTTTGCTGTGGCTATCGCTTTTATTTACATACCAACAATGCGGCTAGAGAGGTTAATCCCAATAGGTAGCCGCACAGCTGCAGCAGTAGAGCCAGCATGTTGACAGCTAAATGTTAATTTAACTAACGGCTATCTTTGCGTTAACATAACTTTTTGAATTAGCGCGAAAATACGAAAATAAAGCCACGTATTTTGTGCCAACTTTGCGTTAGTTGGCAGCTGATAACAATTCGACGAACACAACAAACGTCTATCGATAGTCAGAATATCGATATTTATGGCAACAGCGCTGCCAGACTGCCGCATAATATCAGCCATTTTTGCGTTTAATTCGAATTTGAATTTATTATCGCACGATTTAACTATATCCAAATCCGCACATAGCCATTGATTAATAATTTATTTAGGCAAACCCAAGCGACCTAGCTCAACAGGTACTTCGGTGTCTGGCTAATGCGCGTATTTACTGCGCCTGCGCTCTCACCCGCTGCCAGCCAGATACACACTTGAACAATTTTCAGCAGCGTCTGTTTTTTGGTTTAATAAAATGTTCTTGTAAATTGAGTAATAATAATTAAAAATGCAATTACTATCACTGCTGATTGTCTTACTGGCCGCGGCCAGCTGCAGCACGTATAAACTACATTTGGAGGCAAATGTTGGCGAGCTGTTTACTTATAAAATCGAGCCGCAGCTCTTCAACTGGACGCACCAGGTGATTAGCGAACAGTTTCGCTATCGGCCCTCGCTGCAGCATTACCCGGATCTGCCCAGCTGGATGCGCTATATGTACAGCCATGAATACCATGCGGGCTTCCTCTATGGCACCCCGCCGGGCACCGCAGCTGGCAAATCCCTCAACCTGGATCTGGTGGCCCTCAATCGCCAGAACTATGAGACACGCCAGATTGTCATCTCGTTGTTTGTGGCGCATAAATTCATTACGCCCAATGTGGTGCAAATGAAAATCGATAATCTCAATTGGGTGCATCTGATGGATCCGGGTCGCGTGGAGAACTTACGCAACATATTCCGTAAGGATCTCTGGCCGAGCAGCAAAGAGGATCTGAGCGTGGTTTTCATGGAATCAGCGATTAACATGGGCGGACGTTTGCCGCTGCGGCCGCAGCAGCGTGAGGGGTGAGTCTGAGCCATATCTATATACAAAATAATCCTTTCCAATCCTCTGCAGCGTCATTGTGCACGTTGGCAGCTTTGCCCAGTTCTCGCCGCGCCTCAAGGAGCTGCAGGAGGAGGTGCGTCCGCTGTACAAGCTGCCCTCGTGCACCTACAAACGCACCTCCGTCCAAAAGATATTCGAAAATGTCGGCTTCAAACTGGACTGGTGCGCCTTCAAAATGGTGGGCATCGAGTCGCCCACCGAGGTGCTCTATCACAATAATCACGCCAGCGGCCGGCTAAAGGAGCATCTGAAGGAGCACCATCAGCAGCAGCAGCAGCGCAGCGAGGATGAACGCTGGCTGGGCATTCCACGCGAGGATGTGCCCATGCGCAACTATATCGATGAGTTTGCCTTCGCCTTTGCCATACCAGGCATGATTCTCGCCGTGCTCGTGGGCATACTCTCGGCCGTGCTCTGCTTTCAGCACCAGAAATTGTAAGTCCAATGGGATTGGGGTTACGTGGAGACATCTCCATGTCAGATTTAACAGCCGACCTACCTATTTATATAGGTATTTTCTTTTAATTTCAATCAATTTTTTTATTATCTTTGTTTTTTTATTAGTTACGATCCGTATTCCGAGTTATTCTTTGACAATATTTTTCACATATGCGAAGAGTCCTGCGCCCGAGCGCCAAACGATTCGGAAGATGAGGACGACAGGTGAATTATGATTTAAATGTTTCATATTTTATTTGCAAGCTCAATCACGTACATATTTATTGGACTTAAAAAACAACTTTTACCTTACCTTTACAGCTTCCTTCATATAGACTATCCCATGTCATCCACCGTGCAAATGGTTCAGTGCTCTGATACCAGTCCCATGCAGCCGGTGACAACGCTGAAGAGTCTCAAGGATCCCAATTTTCTGCTGGACAACACAAGCATGCGTTCCCAAAGGTATAGAGTGCAGCATTTCTTTATCCTTTTCAGTATATATCTTTTAAATTGCAGTCCAAGCAATAGCTTGTATCAGCTCGACACCGGCGCTTCCGGCATCTATGCACGCCCCAAGCCGCCACCCTATAATGGCGGCACTTTGGGACGCAATGGCGTGGACATTTGACAAACATCGCCGCGAGTGCTCTACTGTTAAAGGCGCTTCATTTAAATCAAAAGCAATACTCATAAAATGCAACTGCAAATAGCCGGCAGCCAGTATCAAGGGGCCGGGCATATCGTAATCGCATCGAATTATGCATATCTATCAATTATCTAGCGTTATGCGTAGCAAATTTAGTTTAATGTTTAGCTTTCTTGCAAATAAATAGCAATTTTGTAGTAGAAACTTAGTGCACAAAAGCTTACCTATTCAAAACACGCGCTCAGTTTAACAATGCAGCCCTGCATATTTGCCATTCACATAGGTGCGCGCACATAGCTGCTGTGTGCGAACTCCGCTGACGGGCGCATATCTTACGGCGAGTCAATGGCTTATTCGAAATAATGCTGATAGAATAAGCTGCCTGCATTAGCTCAACGATCATTCTATTCATTACTTATATAAGCACTCATTTTGTATGATAGTCAACTTTCTTTAAAGCAAAAGTTGACATATTTCAAACGCGCGCCAACCCAAACTGAGCAGCCCTACACATATGCCATTCACATGCAAGCGCGTGCATTGTTGGGGTCATCCGCTCCTGATAAGCGGTGAAAGTCGTGGCCTAATCGCTTTCTATTTCGTTTAAAATTTTCAATTAAAAACCAACGTGTTACTAAAAATGGTGCTCTCACTGATTAGCTCCCTGGAGGAGCTCATTGATCAGTACAAGATAAATCTGATTCAAGTGATTTTCATCGTTTTTATTGTGACCATCGTCTTGCTGGGCAGTTTAATGACCCTGGTAGAATCGCATTTGCCCAACTGCATTCGTCAGTCCTTTCGTTACGGGAAGCACAGTCATAAGGGCGAAACGGACGCACTGATCAGTCATCTGGAAGTGCCCAAGGCCTGGTTCAGTCATTTCTATATATTCGCCTTTGGCTGGTCTCTGCTGGCGCTCTATTTCATCAGCAGTTCCATCCTCACCCAAACCACGGCGCCGGAGTACGTGCTACGCTTTCTGGACTTCATGTGCGGCGGACACACTCAACGGCAGGTGCAGGTGGACTCGAACACAGCGCTCATTGGAACCGTGCTGCTCACCCTGCAGTGTGTGCGTCGCTTCTACGAGACGAATTTCGTACAAATCTTCTCCAAGCGCAGCCGAATAAATCTCTCGCACTATGCCGTGGGACATATACACTATTTTGGCGCCATTATCGCGCTGCTGGCCAATACGGCAGGCTTTGTGCGCGGCTCGAAGCCGGCGCCGTTCACGCTCTCCAATGTCAGCCTGCTGCAAGCAACTTATACGCTCGTCTTTCTGTTCGCCTGGCTGCAGCAGTATGCCAGCAATATGCTGCTGGTGCGACTGCGCAAGGATGCCAAGACGGGCGCTGTCCAGACGGAGGCACATCTGCTGCCCAGCGGCGGCTGGTTCAATTTGATCTCCTCGCCGCACATGTTCTTCGAGGTGGTCATGTACTATTGCCTCGCCGATCTATTTACGCCCATTAGCACATGGAAGCTGATCTTCCTGTGGGTGGCCAGCAATCAGACGATCAACGCGCTGCTCACCCATCAATGGTACAAGGAGAACTTTAAGGATTATCCCAAACAGCGACATGCCATCATACCCTGGCTGCTGTAGGCTTCAGTTACAAATTGTATTACTAATTTATTTGTGGCATTTATTATTAAACTCGTTTTACACACACACAATGTGCTTGCTGTTGTTGTTGTTGTTGTCAATTCGAACTATATAAAACGTGAACGTTCCACTTGAACCTATCTTTGGGCGTCAATTGATTTTACTTAAACAAGAAACTGCAAGCGAGAAATAATTAAAGAAAGGCCGGAATTACAGCTAGTTGGACTTACCTATAAGGATAACCCTGCGCCTTGGAACGGAATACGGATAGCAAAAAGGAGAAAAACACGGTTAACAATACCAAACCAGCCATGGCCATCATGCGGTTGCGATTGTGCGCCTTCGGTGTGCCCGACTCGATGAGCAATATCATGCCCAGAACAATCATGGCATCTGCAAAAGACCCAAAAATTACCTCATTGGCAGTTGGCAAAAGGAGCTTAGGCAATTCCAGGACTTACTCAAAAACATGACAATGTACGTCTCCACGACCAGCTGGCCCTGGGACGAGCCGTGGATGTAGGCGACGCCGCCGTTTTGGGTTTTATGCACCAGAGGCGGTCCGCGTATGTGATTCCACATTTGACCGGAGATCATGGCGAAGCAAAAGAATACAGCAATTGCACCCCACAGATTTTTGTTGTACAGGAACTCCAGATTGTTGCGACGAATATACAAAAAGCTGCCCACCAAGGCGACCAGGGTAATCATGGCCACCGTGCCCGAATAGTTTGGCGGACGGAATATGCGTATTGTGATATCCGTGCGTTCGGCCACAAACTTGGCTATGGAATCGGCGGCAAAGCCAACACGATGTATATCCATGGTATCGGCACCCTTCGGCTTGCCCTTGGCCGGGAAATGCATGAAAACGGGCGCCGTATTCAGGCGCAGCAGCTGAAACACATCGGAGCCCTCATCGAAATCGACCATGGCAAAGAACAGCTTGTTCGAGTAGATGGGCGAGAAGCGATACGAGTTGGCCACAATGCTGAACTCGTCGTGGGCATGACGACAGATCTGGCATTGGCGGGACGGCGCCAGCGCCGTTAGCATCACAATCATTGAGTAGTTGCGCGGCGTGTTTTTCACATATTCACGGAACTTCGGTCCATTGAAGCGCAGCAGCGGCTTCTTCATGTTCATCTCCACCAGATTCTGCACCTTCTCCGAAAGCGAGAGACCCGTCTGCAATAAATCAAACATTAATGTTTACATCTGCCGCAAGTCCCGTTGCCGGCTAACGGAACCGGCTAGCTCCCGTGGCTCTGACGTGGCCATATCCACGGCCGAATGTGCATACCTTTTGTTTACCCTGTGCTGCGACAAAGATTAGGCAGCCGAGTAGCACAATGAGCGCGCACAAGAGCGTCTTGCGCAGCAGCTTCATTTTGTAATGTGATTTACGTTCAAATTTTCACTAATTAAAAGCCAAAATTACAGCGTTTAACTTAGAAAAAAAGAATTTTGTGTCAGCGCTGCATGCAGCTGATTGTGAATGGCAACAGCGTATGGCGTTGCCAGACTGTCGTTGCTCTGCTTCTTGCTCACACATGCTGATTGGTGATGATTCGTGCATAGCGTGACAATGTGTTTTAGTGCAAATTTCGTGCCGCACTCATCTCTATCGTCAACTATACGCGTTTTCGAGACGCGTTGGTCGGCTATTTTTTATTTGTCTTTATTTTAATTTAAATTAAGTATTAATTTATTTAACTGTGCAGCAGAGACGCCGATTGGCATGAGCGATGTATTGAAGAGCTCGCAAGAGCGTTCGCGTAAACGCAGACTGCTGCTTGCCCAAACGGTGGGTGGGCGTCAATTTTCGCCGTCGCTTCTTTGTTTTTCTCTAAATAATTTGAATATTTAAATAATTTTAGCTCGGTTTGTCCAGCGTTGACGAGCTGAAAAAGGTGCTGGGCAATGCAGAAGATAGCAACAACTACTCTGGTGTCGGTGGCAGCAGGCAGCTGAATGCCTCGGGCCAACGGGACGAGGAGGATGGCGGCAGCGGCGGCGCCTCATCGTCCAAGAAGACACCGAACGAGATCATTTACAGGGACTCCTCGACGTTCCTGAAGGGCACACAGTCTTCCAATCCGCACAATGATTACTGCCAGCATTTTGTGGACACCGGCCAAAGGCCACAAAATTTTATACGCGATGTCGGCCTGGCCGATCGCTTCGAGGAGTATCCCAAGCTGCGGGAGCTCATCAAGCTGAAAGACAAACTTATCCAGGACACCGCATCGGCGCCCATGTATCTGAAGGCCGATCTCAAAACGTTAGATGTCAAAACCCTGGGTACCAAATTTGATGTCATACTCATTGAGCCGCCGCTGGAGGAATATGCTCGAGCAGCGCCCGCTGTGGCCACGGTGGGCGGGGCGCCGCGCGTCTTCTGGAACTGGGACGACATACTCAGTAAGCTGATCAGCAAGAGTCTATTTGTAGACCATGTTAAACATTTCTTTGCACGCAGATTTGGATGTCGGCGAGATAGCCGAACATCGTTCGTTTGTGTTCCTGTGGTGCGGCTCGTCGGAGGGATTGGACCAGGGCCGTAATTGTCTGAAGAAGTGGGGCTTTCGCCGCTGCGAGGACATCTGCTGGATACGCACAAACATCAACAAGCCGGGCCATTCCAAGCAGGCCATACCCAAATCCGTTTTCCAGCGCACAAAGGAGCACTGCCTGATGGGCATCAAGGGAACGGTGCGACGTTCTAGCGATGGTGACTTCATACACGCCAATGTGGACATTGATCTGATAATATCCGAGGAGGAGGAATTCGGTAGCTTTGAGAAGCCCATCGAAATCTTTCATATCATTGAGCATTTTTGCCTGGGCCGTCGGCGTTTGCACTTGTTTGGCCGCGATTCGAGCATTAGGCCGGGCTGGCTAACAGTTGGACCCGAGCTGACGAATTCCAATTTCAATGCCGAGCTGTATCAGACCTATTTCGCGGAGGCCACCGCCACCGGCTGCACCAGTCGCATCGAAATGCTGCGGCCAAAGAGTCCGCCGCCAAATAGCAAAGTGTTGCGCGGCCGTGGACGCGGCTTTCCACGTGGTCGTGGCCGGCCCAGATAGTAATCACTCCACTGCATGTATTTCTAGTTAATAAGCGCGATAGTTGTTGTAAACGTGGCACTTAATCGTGCGATTGATCTTGGACTTGAATGCTGTAATCTACTGCAGGATTAATCTAAGGTTTAAGGTACAATTTATACTTATGTCATTGTACACGATATAATGCTAGGATTAAAGCTAAATAAAAAACTAATGCTGCAGACTGGGATGTTGATTCAGATGCCGCATATAGACGTCCAGCTCATCCTCGTCGCTGGAATTGCTTCGTTCAGGCGCGAGATTATCCACCTTAGGATCAACTTCATCATCATCGTCGGTGGACTCGAAGTAGGCATCCTCCTCATCACGTTCGATTTGCTTTAGATCGTCAAGCTGGGCATTATCATCTACAGCTGTGTAGTCGAAATCCTTGTCCTGGCCACTGAGAAAGCGCTCCTTCATCAAGCCCATAAACTCGTTGCGCAGCAGCTCTCTTTCGCCGGGATTGTAATACTCGGCTGTGGTTATTCGGCTGACTGGCGCTGCGGCATGCTGCGTATTCCGACTCGTGGAGCAGGCCACCGGCTCATCATCCTCGAAGCCGCCCCATTGCTTGCGGCATGCTGCCGGCACTTCGCAATCCAAACTTGCTGCTGGTGCTGGCAGCGACTCCATCTCTGAGCTGCTATCCACCTGTTGCAACAGCTCGTCCCGCTGCTTCTGCTCCAGCGTGTGCATCAGTATGCCCGAGAAGCTGGTGTTGCGCACATCGTAACTGTCACGTTGCTTCCGCTCCTGCTCCGTCAGGTATTGTCCGACCAGTTCCTGGTACAGCTCTGGTGCCCGCTGCATCATTTCGTGCTCGCTGAAGTATTCGCCCTTCTGCAGCAGCTGCTCCATTGCATGGTAGCGCCTATTCTTGACGCAGATCGAGCGGGTGTGCAGCTTCCGTTTGAAGTCTTCCAGCAGCAGGCAAATCTCCTCCAGGTTCTCGTCGGGCTTGATGGGCTCCTGTACGCCCAGAGACTCAAAGTCGCTTAATTGTCGCTCGTCTAAATAGCTGCCAAAGCGTATCAAGAAAGTTTCGCGATTTTTGTGAAATGCATCCTGCGCAATTTGTTGCTTCTCCGAAACGATTAGCTCGGGATCATCGATTTGTTGCGATTTAAAGATAATGCTGGCATTTTCAGCAAGAGCTCTGAATATATCCACAAGTTGATTGGGTAATTCGGCTACTTCTGAGCTGTTATCGCTGTTCGCGGCCTCAGTTTGTGTCATTTTAACGAATTAAATATTTGTAAACAAAAGCTTCTTCTTCGGTGCAAGTCATTCAGCGCGAATTGCATTCTTTTAGAACAAGTTCATTTAAGTCGTTCATTAAATGAATAACTGAATGTTTAAATGAACAGCTGAACTGATTTGTTAACAAAATCATTTTGCTCATTAGTTATTAAAAAACAAAACATTTTTTTGCATTTTATTTTTTGGCTATGGAGAAATTAAAATATTATTTTATTCAGTCGTTAATTATTGTCGTTGTTCATTTCTGTATAAGCACACATGCGGTATTGTTAAGTAAAGTTGTTTGAGTAAGCTTATTTTTTCGTATAAAATCATCATTCTACATGTATAACTACAAATACTATCTCAAAAAACTAATTTTATTACCTTGTTTATTCATATATTAAGAAAGTAGTTCCATTTAAGTGGTTACAGATAAGTTATTATCAACCCAAAAATAACTGAAAAGCTAAATATCTGAACTGATCATTTACAAAAAACAGAATAACTGAACAAGTAAAATAATCTACAACGTTCAGAAGCAACTAAATAACAAGTGGATAACATTACTAGTTAAAAGTTGAACTTGAATTACCAACTGAAAACGAGTTTTTAAAATATTACCGATAACGATAACAGACCAACACATCGATATCTGCTGTGCGCTCAGAAATGTAATTGCCATTCACGTGTGTACGTTGCAGCTGTTTGGGTGTGATTGTGTGTGGGGTTTTTTTTTGGCAGCTCCAGCTGTTCTTTAGTTATAAGCAAGAACCGCGGCAGCTAATCTCCAACGCGCAATCATTATAATAAAGGGCTTCTTGCAATAGTATTTATCAGTGCTTGCGGCCCGACCCGCGCGTCTCTTTCTCTGCGCGGCAGTCGGAAATGATGACTAAGAAACAAAGCTGCGTGAAAAAAAAGAAAAAGTCCCAAACTCGCTTTCGTTTCGTTTCGTTTCGGCGCACGCCTAAAGCCTAAATACGATGTCGAATATTGATTGGAATTTCGCATGGAACTGGACACACTTCTGTCCAACCGGCCTGAAGCCATTCGCCAATGACACCAACGATCTGTTGCCCTGCTTCCAGAAGACCCTGCTCCAGCTGCCCGTCTATACGATCTTTGCGGCGATATCCGCCTACAATTTTGGCAATCAAACGCAGCAGATAGCGCGCAATAGCCTGCAATTGCAATTGCTGGCATTGCGCATTGTATTTAGTATTATTTTGGCACTGCTGCCCGTATCCAAGATATTTGTATTCCATCGCGCTGGCATCGATTTGTATGCGGTCGATGTGCTTGTCGTCACCGCCGAGTGCATCATGTGGATTGTGCACTGTGGTAAGTTTATTATTGGACAATTAAGGTCTCCGTTGTGTCTGGCTGACTCATTGACTTTTGTTTTCCAGGCTATCTGCTGACGGCGCGACATTTTGGCACGCTGAGCCATCGTGGCCCGCTGCTAATGAATGTTGTTTGGCTCATGGTCGTGGTGCTGGATGGTGTTTGGCTGCGCACCAGTCGCCACTTTGAGTGGTGGCCCTGGAGCTTGGCCACGCTGCTGTGCGACCTGTGCTACGCCGCCACGCTGCTGCCCAAGGGGAATGCCGTCTTGTGCTCCAGCACGATTGGCACCAGAGATCGCGAGCAGGAGGCGTTGCTGGCCAATCGTTATACCTACTTTCACTTTGAGCTGAATGAGGCGCTGCTGGGCCATGCACAGGACGAGGCCAATTGGGCGTCACGTTTCGTGTTCCACTGGGTGCAGCCGCTGATAAGCAAGGGCGTGGCCGGCAAATTGCGTCGCATCGAGGATTTGTTTGATCTGCCCGATGCGCTGAACATAACACGCCTCAGCGAGCGACTGCATCTGGCGTTGTCGCAATCGCAGAGCATATTCCGTGCGCTGCACAAGTGCTTTGGCCTGGAGTTCTATTTAATCGGACTGTTGCGCCTCGTAGCGGACATCTCCAGCTTTGCCGGCCCGCTGCTGCTGGGCGGACTGTTGCGGCAGGACAGCAACCAGGATGGACCAACGGACGGCAGAGCCTATTACTATGCTCTGGGCCTGTTCGGCAGCACCTTGCTGTCGGCGGTGTGCGGCTGTCATTTCGACTGGCGCATGGCTATGGTCAGCATGAAGATGCGCGTGGGCGTCGTCAATAGCATCTATCGCAAGGCATTGGAGGCGCGCGGTGTGCGCGAATCGCGTCCGGATATGCTTAATCTCATGTCCACCGATGCGGATCGCATTGTCAACTCGTGTATTAGCTTCCACTTCTTCTGGAGCATACCCTTCAAGCTGTTTACCACATTGTATCTGCTCTATCTGCAGCTGGGCGCCGCCTTCCTGGCGGGCGTCATCTTTGCCGCACTGCTGATACCCATCAATCGCTGGCTGGCCAAGCGCATCGGCATCTATTCGACGGGCCTGATGAGCGCCAAGGATGCGCGTCTCTCGGCCACCACAGAGACCATGCAGGGCGCCAAGCAAATCAAGACCAATGCCTGGGAGCCCATATTTATAACCAAAATACGCGCACTTCGCACCACGGAGCTGAAATTTCTGTCTAAGCGCAAATATTTGGATGCGATGTGCGTTTATTTCTGGGCAACGACGCCGGTGCTCATGTGCCTGCTCACATTTGGCGTATCCGTGCTGCTGGGCAATCCGTTGATTGCCTCCACGACGTACACGAGCGTCGCGCTGCTTTACATGCTGATCGGACCGCTGAATGCCTTTCCCTGGGTGCTCAATGGATTGATCGAGGCGTGGGTATCGTTGCGGCGCGTTCAACAGCTGATGGATGTACCCAATTTGGACTATTCCAGCTACTATAATCCCATTATGCGCGGCAGTGCAAGTCCGGCAGCCATGCCCAGTGTGCTGCAAATGAAGTCGGCCCACTTTGTGCACGATACGGAGCACAGCGATAGCGACAGCGAGACAACTATTTCGCAGTTCCGTCTGAGCGACATCAATTTGGACATCAAGGCGGGCCAACTGATCTGCATTGAGGGTCCCGTTGGCGGCGGCAAGAGCAGCCTGCTGACGGCCATCATAGCCGGGCTGCAGTGTCTCGATGGCGAGGTGTGCGTCCAGGAGCTGACCACCGGCTTTGGCTATGTGCCGCAATCGCCATGGCTGCAGCGCGCCACAATACGCGACAACATCGTGTGGGGCAGCAACTTTGACGAACAATGGTACAGGACCGTGCTGCACGCGTGCGCTCTCAACGAGGATATACGCATCCTTGGCGGTGATCTCATGGGTGTGGGCGAAAACGGACGCACGCTGTCTGGCGGGCAACGGGCACGGGTGGCCTTGGCGCGCGCCGTTTACCAGAACAAGAAGGGTGAGCTCCCAGTCGATCATCTTCGACTGAAGTCTCATATTCCATCTCAATTATTTATATTTAAATCTTTTTTGAACACTTCCAGTTTATCTGCTGGACGATGTGCTGTCCTCGCTGGACGCTCATGTGGCCAAGCACATTATACGCCACTGTCTGCTGGGCCTGCTCAAGGAGAAGACGCGCATTGTGGTCTGCCGCAGCACCCAGCTATTCTTCCATGCCAATCAGATACTGCACATCAAGGATGGTCAGCTGCGGCCCAGCGATTACATGACCGAGAGCATTGACGTCAGTTCCGAGGAGGAGGAGGAGGAGGAGAATGAGCTTAATAGCCATTCGCTTGCGCTGCGTCGCCTGTCCGTGGAGCTGCCCAATGCAGCGGATGTGGACAAGCGCAGCGTGGACAGTCTGCTGCTGGAGGAGTCGCGCGAGTTTGGGCATCTGGCTGGCAATGTGTTTGCCTGCTATTGGCGCGCCGTGACCGCTCCGCTCGCGCTCACCGTGCTGCTGTCCGTGCTGCTCATGCAGCTAACACGGAACCTGAGCGACGCTTGGCTGGCGCACTGGGTCACCGACACAACGCTCGATGGCCATACGAACGACACAACGCTGCAGCATCAGCTCATGCGACCCGGTAGCTCCGGCAATGAAAGCGCTGCAGCGCATACAACTGGCTACTATTTGGGCATCTTTGCGGCAATTGCTGTGACCAATTCCCTGGTAACGCTCGCGCGTGCCTTTCTCTTTGCCTATGCGGGCATCAAGGCGGCAATTTTTATGCACGAGCAGCTCCTCAAGCGTGTCATGTTTGTGAGTACAGGGTATTACCTGGCTCAGTATTTACCAATTGTAATTAATTAATTGTAATTGCAGGCCAAGTTCAATTTCTTTGACGTCACCTCGGTGGGTCGCATACTCAATCGCTTCTCCTCGGACACAAACACGGTGGACGACTCGCTGCCATTTATACTGAACATTTTGCTGGCCCAATTGGCGGGCTTGGTGGGCGCCCTGTGCGTCAGCCTGTACGCCATGCCCTGGCTGGTGCTGATCATAATACCCATGGTGCCGATCTACTTGAATCTGCAGCAACGCTATCGCCACGCCTCGCGGGATATAAAGCGTTTGTCCAGCAATGCCATGTCTCCGCTGTACACACATTTTACGGAGACCCTGGAGGGATTGTCTACGATACGCAGCATGCGGGCGAGTGCCCGTTTCCAGCGCGACTTCCAGGGCAAGCTGGAGGAGAGCACAAAGGCGCAGCTGTCCGCGGCAGCGGCACAGCAATGGTTGGCCCTGCGTCTCCAGCTGCTCGGCTCGCTGCTGGTGGGCGGCGCTGGCCTGTTGGCCGCCATAACAGCCTCGCATACCACCAATCCTGGGCTGGTGGGTCTGTGCATATCGTATGCATTGTCCATAACCGGCCAGCTGGGCGATCTGCTGCATGCTGTGGCCGAGACCGAGCAGGAGCTGGTTGCGGTCGAGCGTGTGGATGAGTATTTGCAGCTGGAGCCGGAACAGAATGCCGAGGGCAGCGCGGATCCACCATTTGGCTGGCCCACACAGGGTGTGCTCAGCTTTAAGAATGTGCAGCTCAGCTACAGGGAGCATTTGTCGCCGGCTTTGCGCGGCATTAGCTTCGAAACGGAGGCCTTTGAACGCATCGGCATTGTGGGACGCACGGGAGCCGGCAAGAGCTCTGTCCTGGCCGCATTGCTGCGCGTTGCCCCACTTAGCCAGGGCGACATCTATCTCGACCAGATGAATCTAAAGACGCTGGCGTTGAGTTTGCTGCGCGAACGCATTGGCGTCATCACGCAGGAGCCCTTCCTCTTTGAGGGTAGGTTACCTGACGGCTTTCTTGACTCCAATCTTCACTAAACTTCATTTCTTTTGGCAGGCACGGTGCGTGAAAATCTGGACCCTAGTCACAAGTATTACGACTCGGAAATTTGGCATGCCATCAAGAATTCGGCAGCCGCCACGCTGCTCGTCCAGCAACTGGGTGGCTTGGATGGGCGTGTCGAGCGTTGCGGCAACAATCTGTCGGCCGGACAACGTCAGCTACTTTGTTTGGCCCGTGCGCTGCTCAAGAATGCCAAGGTCGTTTGCATTGATGAGGGCACCTCCTCGTTGGACGACGAATCCGACTTGTGCATGCAGCAGGCGCTGCGGAATGCCTTCAAAAGTTGCACATTGATTTTCATAGCACATCGATTGCGCGGCCTGCAGGCCATGGATCGCATCCTTGTGCTGGACGATGGCCGCATTTGTGAGCAGGGCAAACCGCAGCAGCTGGCAGCCGATGGCAATTCCCGATTCCATAGCATGCTGCAAGCGCAGGACATCAGTTTGACTGACTTTGCTAAAATCGATTAGCTGTAAATAATTGGGAACAATTAAGTTCCTTCTATGTACGATTCGACGATCTGTGTATTTATTGTTTTTATAATTATTATTTGATAATTGTATATTTAGCTTTTATGTTAATACCAAATACAATACATGATTTTAGGCAACAGGTCAGATCAGTTATAAAAATAAGAAATTTGTTTTCTGAATAACTACTAAAATGTTCAGCACAAAACTTGCCACGGACAAAGAGGTATAGATTTGTATGTGTATGTATTTTTGCATGCATGTGTGTATTCATGTGTGTATGCATGTATGAAGGCATTCACGTTTGCATGTATATATGCATGTATGTATGCGTGTACGTATGTGTGTATGTATGTGTGTATGTATGAATGTTTGCATGTATGTATGCGTATATGTATGTGTGTATGTGTGTATGTATGCATGTATGTGTGTTTGCATGTATGTGTCTATATATGTATGTATGTATACATGTATGTATGTATGTATGTATGTAGGTATATATATGTAGGTGTATGTATGTATGTATGTATGTAGGTATATGTATGTAGGTGTATGAATGCATGCATGAATGTATGCATGTATGTATGTATATATTATACATGAATTTATATATGGAAATGAATGTATGCACATATTTGTATGTTTACATGCAAGACCGAGTTTACCTCTAGCAGCGCTGCAAATTTAAAAAAAACGTATTTCGAACTAATTCCCTTCTACGCGATTCTCATGAATTCAAGTAAGTCTTCAAGCAAGGCTTCACTTCAAGTATAGGAGGAGACGGCTTCAGCTAATGGGGAGACGGCAGCTTCAGCATTCGAGGTGGCGGCGGTTTTAATATTGGAGGAGACGGCTTCAACTATGCAGGAGGCGGCAGTTTCAGCACTGCAGGAGACAGAAACTGTAGCAAAGGAAGAGGTGGCAGCTTAAACTATGGTGGAGACAGTAGCTATGGCTTTGGCGGAGAAAATTGAAGAAATTGGTACGTATTATATCCACATAATATTAGTAATAACTTTTTTGGTCGTACATAAGAGTTCGTCTCCCGCCTATTGATAGATGATGATAAAATATTCGTACGTGGGTATTTACAGGTAAGTACGTAATCTCTATATATAAAACTGTTTGGCCTGACTGACTGACGCACAGCCCAAACCGTAAAAGCCAGAAAATTAGAATTTCACAGTCGTTACCTTATGTGATGAAGGTGCCCGTTAAGACGGGATTTCGGGAAATTGCACCCGCATGCCTGGAAAAATCGTTTGTACGAACAATTTTTGTTTTCCATCCGATCGGCCTGAAATTCGTTTTCAAAGATCTTTGAGAGAATTTATTTTAAACGTGCCACAGGCTAGGCCGGGGTATGCCCGCTATTATCCTATATAGACATAGGTCAAAATTACCCACCCCCATAACTCGGTCAAAAATCAACAGATTTACATAAGGTTTGGCTTTTTGCTCCTGGTTCGGCCTCTAGATCAATTTGGCATCCAAATCTGGCAACATTATTTTGGGTCAAAATTCAAGTGAAAATGGTACCCTAACCTATCCTATATAGACATAGGTCAAAATTTCCCACCCCCATAACTCGGTCAAAAATCAACAGATTTACATAAGGTTTGGCTTTTTGTTCATGGTTTGGCCTCTAGATCAATTTGACATCCAAATCTGGCAACATTATTTGGGTCAAAATTCAAGTGAAAATGGTGCCCTAAAATATCCTATATGGACACAGGTCAAAATTTCCCACCCCCATAACTCGGCCAAATCTCATCCGATTTTCACGAGGAATTGCTTTTTGTTCATGGTTTGGGCTCTATATCAATTTGGCATCTAAACCTGACAACATTATTTTGGGTCGAAATTCATGTGAATTGGTACCCTCAAATATCCTATATAGACATAGATGAAAATTTCCCACGTCCATAACTCGGTCAAAAATCAACCGATTTACATAAGGGTTGGCTTTTTGTTCATGTTTCGGCCTCTAGATCAATTTAGCGTCCAAATCTGTCAACATTATTTTGGGTCGAAATTCATGTGAAAATGGTACCCTCAAATATCCTATATAGACATAGATGAAAATTTCCCACGTCCATAACTCGGTCAAAAATCAACAGATTTACATAAGGTTTGGCTTTTCGTTCATGGTTTGGCTTCTAGATCAATTTGACATCCAAATCTGGCAACATTATTTTGGGTCGAAATTCAAGTGAAAATGGTACCCTCAAATATCCTATATAGACATAGATGAAAATTTCCCACGTCCATAACTCGGTCAAAAATCAACCGATTTACATAAGGGTTGGCTTTTTGTTCATGGTTCGGCCTTTAGATCAATTTGGCATCCAAATCTGGCAACATTATTTTGGGTCAAAATTCAAGTGAAAATGGTGCCCTAAAATATCCTATATGGACACAGGTCAAAATTTCCCACCCCCATAACTCGGCCAAATCTCATCCGATTTTCACGAGGAATTGCTTTTTGTTCATGGTTTGGGCTCTATATCAATTTGGCATCTAAACCTGACAACATTATTTTGGGTCGAAATTCATGTGAATTGGTACCCTCAAATATCCTATATAGACATAGATGAAAATTTTCCACGTCCATAACTCGGTCAAAAATCAACCGATTTACATAAGGGTTGGCTTTTTGTTCATGGTTCGGCCTTTAGATCAATTTGGCATCCAAATCTGGCAACAATTTTTTGGGTCAAAATTCAAGTGAAAACGGTGCCCTAAAATATACATAGGTCAAAATTTCCCACCCCCATAACTCGGTCAAAAATCAACAGATTTACATAAGGCTTAGCTTTTAATTCATGGCTTGACCTATAGATCAATTTTGCATCCAAATCTGGCAACATTATTTTGGGTCAAAATTCACGTGAAAATTGTGCCCTAAAATATCCTATATAGACATAGGTCAAAATTTCCCACGTCCATAACCCTGTCAAAAATCAACCGATTTACATAAGGGTTGGCTTTTTGTTCATGTTTCGGCCTCTAGATCAATTTAGCGTCCAAATCTGTCAACATTATTTTGGGTCAAAATTCAAGTGAAAATGGTGCCCTAAAATATCCTATATGGACACAGGTCAAAATTTCCCACCCCCATAACTCGGTCAAATCTCATCCGATTTTCACGAGGAATTGCTTTTTGTTCATGGTTTGGGCTCTATATCAATTTGGCATCTAAACCTGACAACATTATTTTGGGTCGAAATTCATGTGAATTGGTACCCTCAAATATCCTATATAGACATAGATGAAAATTTCCCACGTCCATAACTCGGTCAAAAATCAACCGATTTACATAAGGGTTGGCTTTTTGTTCATGTTTCGGCCTCTAGATCAATTTAGCGTCCAAATCTGTCAACATTATTTTGGGTCAAAATTCAAGTGAAAATGGTGCCCTAAAATATCCTATATGGACACAGGTCAAAATTTCCCACCCCCATAACTCGGTCAAATCTCATCCGATTTTCACGAGGAATTGCTTTTTGTTCATGGTTTGGGCTCTAGATCAATTTGGCATTTAAATCTAACAACATTGTTTTTGGTTGAAATTCATGTGAAAATGGTACCCTCAAATATCCTATATAGAGATAGGTCAAAATTTCACACCCCCATAACTCGGTCAAAAATCAACAGATTTACATAAGGTTTGGCTTTTCGTTCATGGTTCGACCTCTAGATCAATTTCACGTGCAAATCTGGCAACATTATTTTGGGTCAAAATTCAAGTGAAAATGGTACCCTAAAATATCCCCATATTTCGGTCAAATCTGATCCAAATTTTCCCGAGGTTTGGCTAAAAATAATTATTTTATTCACATTCCAAATTTTGCTTTACGCATTTAACCATTAGGATTCGCTCAGATTGAAACTAAACGAGGTTAATAAAAATAATGCTAAAAACTTTGAAAAATTTAAACCGAATTTTTCCGCCATGGAGGAGTTTATTAAAGTCAAAAGGCTGTAAATAATATGCTTGTTGAATGTGTGTGTGTGCTTATTTTTCTTTTTATCTTTTATTTTTTAATAGCATATTTAGTTTTTATTTTATTTATACTAAATATAATACATGATTTTCTGCGACAAATAATCATTTTCTATAGCTTTTTGTGTACCTAAACTGATTTCCGATTGTGTGCTGTATATGTATATATATATACTATATCTCAAAATTGCAATATGGTTAAAGTAAACCTGTCCAAAAAATCGATTCACAATTTAATTTCTGAATAATTTTATAAAAATGAATTAGCGAAAAACTATTTTCAAATATTCTTAAAAAACCTATCTTAACAGAATTTCTAAAATTTCAAGCTCTTTAGTTTCGGATTTGTTGTTAATATTTTCTTTTTTTTTTTAATAAAAATTATGTGATTCGGCTTAACTAGCATTTTTTCAACTTTAGCGTTTAATTTTTTTCATTTTTTCTTTTTCATGAAACTTTAAGCTTGCTTAAGAAATTGAAGAAATATATATGTATAAATATATATATGTATATATGTATATATATTTATAAATAAATATGTATATATATATACATGTATACTAGGGAAAGTTTACAATATTTATTGGATAACGATTATAATCCACGCAACTTATTAAAGGCATTCTAAACTTTCCGAACTCAAGTTTTCTGATGTAAAGTTAAAACTTTGATTAATTATTCTAAAATTAGTATTGCCAATTAGCAAGCTAACTTAACTTTTAGCTTGCTCAATTAAATACAAATAAAAAAAAAAAACTGATTAATAAACTAAAACCAATTTGCAATTTGGCCTAGGCTTAACAATGTTTTTGGGTGGATAATGTTAGCTTCCTCGAAACTGACTCAGAATTGGTTTAAAATAAAAAAATAAATCGTATTTAAATTTGTTAACTAGTTGAAAAGCTTCTCGCCAGGCTCTCCAGTGATGTGCTCAAACTGTTCGGGATGATAGGGATTCTTGGCCAGCATCTCGTTGATGGAGCGCTCATAGAGAGCCGTATAAAGACGCAAGTCCATGTTGGTATGATCCTGCCGGAATGGGTTTAAGGCGCAATCAGGTTTTTATAGGTAAAGTACATTTTGAATTTAAATAGAAAAGGATTAGGTATCTTTGCGTTGGTCGAGAATTAATTCCCTTGCAGCCGAAAAAGTATGCTTAATATAATAATATTATAATATACAGATCTTAACTACAAAAAAACTGAAGAAAAATTGACAGACGATTTCTGTGGGTGCTGCATATATAAATATATGTTATGTAACCCCTTATCTTAGGTAAAATTTTGGGAATTTTAATACTTATTATCACAAATTGTTCTTTTTGTTCAAGAACAAAAGAATTTTCTATATAAAAACTAAAGTTTATATCTAATGATCCTATAGGAGCCAATGATTTTGAGCCAATGAAGAATAATAAATAATGATAATGAATAATGATAGAAGAATAATTCGAGAGTTTGGTTAATATATCTTAAAAAACAGAAAGATTTTCTATATAAAACCCTGCTTTCGACCAAAAGTTCCTATGACAAGTATTACTGGAACTTCACATTGATAATGAATAATAAAGATAATGAATAGTTCGCTCTAATCTTCATTGGATCCAATTCGTGGCAAAGTTCTTCGACTGCAAGGGCTTTAAAATTAGTTAAGAATAAGAATGATCTACAAGATGTGTGTGGAATAGTTAGTGGATGCTGGTTAGGACTTATTTATATATGAGATTAGTGCCCGATGAGACCAGTGATTAGTACATTAGTCCATATAATGGCAAAACTCATACTAATACCTTGGCATGGATACGTGGTCCGGCAGCTAAAACGCAGCAAAAGATTACAGAAGAAGTGTGTGTACCACGTGTGTGTGTCTACGTTTATGTGTGTGTCTCAATAATACCTTCAGATCGTTGCGTGCCAAATATATAATGCGCCTCATATCGTGTATGGCCTGATAAACATGCTGATACGTGGCGCTCTCACACTTCAGTATAATGGCGCGCACATCAATGAACTCGTGCTGGCAGCGCTCAAAGAAATATGGATACTGGAAATAGTAAAAAATTAAAATAAATTATGTTAGAAAATTTCAAAATATATTATAACTATTCAAGGAAAAGGAAGAAGTTCCGAGCTCGAGCAATAATAAATAGTAATAATAAAATAAAAAATATAATAATCATAATAGTTATAAAGTTTTAATTAACTATAATATTGTTTATAATATAATATAGTTATATATAATATAATATATATAAATAGACACACCAAAATCTACACTTTCTCCAGAATATTTACTTTTGTTTCTCCCAAAATCGTAAAAAATTTATAATCTTGGGCATTTAGTATTTACGCCCTGAAAATTTCCAAACAATCGGACAATATGCACCGAAGTTAATCATATATAGACATAACTTGTAGACTTTCTCCAGAATATTTCACTTTTGTGCTACCTTCAACCGTTTGCATAATCTTAGGTTTTGGTATTTACGCCTTAAATTTTTCAAAAACATCGGACAATATGCACCGAGTTTAATCGTGTATGCTTAGGGAAGAAGAAGCACAGCCGCAGGGTAGACTGCGTGTATGTGTGTGTGTGTGTATAGAGTGAAACTAGAAAGACTGTAACGGCAGCTCAGCGCTGGGTAAAGGGTATCTGCTAGTCGGCAGCAGCCAATTAGAGCCATCTTGTTGAAAAAGTATAAAGAAAGGGCTTCTTAGTGCTATATTATCCAACCTATGGAACGTATGGACTCACATAGTTGCGTGTGAACTGCTTTTGGAAGAATCGATCGATGTTCTGCAGTTGCATGATGCGGTTACTCAGATCGTAGAGTCGGCGCGACATCTCGCGACCCACAAGGGTCAGGGGCGTTGTGTAGGGCTTGCCATCGTTGTGGCGACACTGTGAGGTCTTCAGCTTGGGCGTTGGGCACTTCAGCACCGACCTGAGCTGCTCGAGCGGCGGCTGTGGCTGGCCTGCTGCCCGGCCGTTGGTCGAGTGCGCGCTGCATTTCCAGATATTGGGGAAGTTTTGGCCTGTTGACGGCGGCGGCGGCGGCGGCGGCGATGAATGATCCAATGCATTGGCGTCCTTCTTGAGGGGCGTATAGGTGCCGGTCTTAAGATAGGTGCCATTGGCATTGACGCAGCGCTGCGCCTCCTCCGAATCCTGGATCATCGTGTACAAATAATTCAAATCCGATTTCGATCTGCCATCCATTGGAGTTGGTTCCGCCTGCAGCTGCGGCTCACCGAAGCTATTGGCCAAATGCTGCTCGCCCGCATGGTCGCTCTTCATGCTGTTGTAGGGTGTGCTAAAGGCGCCGGGACCACGCCCATTGTCCAGAGCCAAATGGACAGGAACCGGCGGCATAGGCAGGACTATATCGGTGCCATTTAGAGTCTTGTTGCTGGAGTTGGAATCGCTGCTGTTGCCGTTGCTGCTCCAGTTGTTGTTGTTGTTGCTGTTGTTGTTGATGGTGATGTTGTTGTTGTTGTTGATAATGTAATGGTTGTTGTTGTTGTTGTTGTTGTTGTTGCTGCTGCTAATGTCCAGCTTGCAGAAGCTGTTCTTCTGCTTCTGCAGCATCCCGTCCAGATTGACAAACGACTTGATTATCATCTCGACGAGCGTCAATGTGCTTATCTGCCAGCTATCGAAGGCGGCCATAAAGCCGCCGGGCAGCTCGTCCTTGATCTTATTGAGGCCATCGGGCGTATTGTACACATAACCCTTCAGTATGACCCACGAGTTGACAATGCGCGTGAATACAAATATAAAATCCTTGACCGCCCAGGCGATGCCCTGCGAATTGATATTGGGCAGCACACCGTCCGGCCGCAGCAGATCCTGCTTGAGCCGGGCGCACAGTGTGTCCATCTTCTTGAAGCACGGACGCTGGCGATGCGCATTGGCCAGACGTTCGGCAATGTCACTGCCCTTCAGCGAGATCCGCGTTATGTCCTGCAAACGTTGTATGGGCAATATGACCTCCGAATTGCGACGCTCGCCCTGCTGAATGCTCGGATAGCCATAGCTCTCAAACGAGCTGCGACTGTTCGACGACTCCTTGCTGCTGTAAAAGATTGAGATGCAACTTGCATTAGCTAGCTGCACAGCTGAAGGAGTTGGGAGAAATATGGAATTCCTGGGAAGCTGAGAGGGTTAAAGGAAGTAGCGTCAACTATCTGGGATTAGGATTAGCAAGACTAGCAAGCGTCTGAGTTGATCGGAGAGTTGGGGTAAGCCTTCCAAGGAACATATCAATTATTGTTGACAATCATCAATGGGCGAGAAAGGATACAATGGTTACATCCCAACGACCTAGGCTCTCTGGAAATTAGGTCCTCCTGTGCGCAGGTTCCGTTTTCTCGGGAAAGCTTACTTTAAAGAGCTCTCAGAACTCCTTTTAAAAAGTTTCCACTGGCGAACCTAGTACGGGGAATACTTTCCAGACATCCCAAGCCTATTCCTTTTCCTCCCTAATAAACCCACAGGATCACCCCTGAAAGGATCAATACCGCACACTTACCTGTCACTCAAATTGGCCAGATATTTGTATTTGGATATGGGCGGCGCATCGCCAATAAGATCCGTCTGGGTGGTCGCATCGCAGCTGCGCCGGACACACGAGCGCGTCTGGCATCCATTGTCCTTGGTGTGCTGATGATGATGCGGACGCGCATGTGTCGGATGATAGTGGGGCACGTACATGCCGCCCACGTTGGCCGATGCCGTGGAGTGTTGCATATACATTTGGCCGTACGCATTCATTGAAGCTGCAACGTTCGAGGCGGCGCTGCATGAATAGAAAACTAGCCCAAGAAACCAGCATTAACATCGACTTACCCGAGCTGGTTGCATAATACTGTACGCCCGGCATGGACATGTATGTGAAACGTCCGTGCATCGATGGATGCGGCGGCTGCTGCGGCGGCGGCGGCGGTGCCGGATGATGATGATGGTGATGTGGCTGTGGTGGTGCTGAGTTTCCGCCCATAAATGGCCCGCGACCGGTTTGTATGAATACGGGTGCACGCACCGGCACCGGCGGAGTGCTCATCGACCAGGAGCTCTGCGAGACATGCTCCTGCACAAATACATCGGTTACGGCCATCCGGGTGCGATCCACATAGGTGTGCTGCTGATACATCGATTGCTGGCACAAAGATTCCACGGCCATGGCGGGCATATGGAATACAGGTGCATTGTAGCCGCTATTCATGGTGCCCTCAACACACTTTCAATTTATAAAAATAGAAACAGAATATGGACACTAGCACTAATTGCAAAAAAAATGAAAATTCGAAAATTTGTAGGTTAGCTTTTCTGTCAGATGTTTGCAATTAATTTTCTTTCAAACTGTACATTGTCAATTTTGGCAATGGCTGCATGCCAACTGTCAATTGTTAACTGGTTATCGAGCCCACGTGTAACAAGAACATCTATTGACTGATCACAGAATATTGAGATTTTTGTTAATGTAATTGCTCACCTGCAAATCAAGCTAAACAGAATTTAAGCAACGGGCAACAACAACAGCAGCAACGACCCGAAAGCGACGGCGCGCCGTACATATTTCCGATAGGTAGGAAGTGTGCAAATATCGGCCTAGCGATGAATGTACATCTGCTTATCGATAACTGCTAACTGATTTCTTCCGTAATTGCCACAACTTCAACTAATTCTCAACTCTATAAAATAAATATATAGATTCTATACCAAAATAATATACGATTTGTTTTCCAAAGCGCAAGATTAGTTATTTCGAATACGCTGCCTGACTTGTCAGTGTGAATGTCAGATAACACATATCTGCAAGCTAGAGGCACGAACTTGCTCTAACGTCTTTTTGCACATTCAAAATCATGCTAATGATACGGTGTTAAAAATAACGGCAATGTACGAGCTTTTCAAATTTCCTAAAAAATTAAGTTTAAATGATGAACATTTTCGTTGGTATGCTTAGATTAAGTCTGTTTTCAAATAACCATGTTTATTTAAATAAATTAGTTTCAATTTAAAATTGGCGGCAACCGATGAGAATGTGCAGAACGATACGATTGTCAAACTATCGTGCGCAATATTAATTCGATAATTCTTCAAGTTGTCTATTGTGAATGCAATGCATATCGATATAGCATATGATTTGCGCAGCTGACTTGCAATGCATTAATAGTTTTATTTTTCTTGCAAACTACTTTTTGGCTAGTTCGACAAAAAATTTGTATTCCACCAAATTGTATTTGTTCCTGTAATCAAATTGAATGGCTCGTAATAACTGTCAGTTATGAATAACAGCACGCTGTTAATAGCAGCGTAGTTAATGTTAAAAACCTATCGCTGCTGTTATGCCCACTGACAGAAGAAGAAGACGATTGTGATAAAGCCGAAAAAAAACAAAAATAATCAGATTAAAATTAACCAAAAATGACAGACGAAGCTAATTTTGCGGAGCAAGTAGTAAATGATAAAAACAAAACAAATGTGCGCTGTCAGTTTTGCAACAGTCTAATGCTAAAAGCCAAAGAGGGCACCTACTCGGAGCAGAAAGTATGAAAAATTGAAGTTGTTTGACTAATGCCCGCATAAAATAAAAAAAACTCTTTTTAGATAGCCGTGCCGCTGATGGTGCAAAAGAAGGACAGCAAAGCCGATGCGCTCAACACGGAGACACTGCATCATTTCTGGCTGGTCGAGGACATGATGTCATTCGAGAACATCGGCTTCTCGCACACTGTGGACGGCCGCAAGTTTCTGGTCTGCGCCGACTGCGAACGTGGCCCGGTCGGTTACCATGAGCTCGCCAGCAAGCGCTGTTACCTGGCCCTGAAGCGTGTGGTGCATGCGGACGCCTAAGTGGGGACTGGTAACAAGTGAAGGGGTCCTATTCTAGCAAAGACATGCACTGCCGGCGCTGCAAGCCATCGCGTTAGCCCAATATTAAATTGCTTTTATTATACTCTGTTCACATGGCGAACAAAGGGCATGTTGGCTTTGCGCACGTCTGTCTGTCCGTCCGTAGTTACATCCGCTTTAGCTAAACTGTTCCCATTATTCTAGATACGCCTACTAAGATGCGCTTCAATAGAATAAATCTATAACCTTCACAGTTTTGTAGCCACAAACCTCCAAAATAGATCTAAAATATAAGTTTTAGGATTTTCTGGAAGCTGTCAAATCGAGTAGATCTATATTTCTACTCAGCTCTAAAGCCTCTTCATAGTTGAAAAACATTCTTGCCATCGTCAAGTCAATATTTCGTAAAATTACAGTTTAGGGGTCACCGCCAATGGGCTACAGTTTCGGAGCCACCATTGCTATCATCTCTTGCTTGTGTTTGCGAACAGAGTATTTGCCTAGTCGGCTGCACCCGACTCTCGTAATTGTAAGTGTAAAGGGAAAAGTTAATCACGCTAAGACAAACGATTTTATGATTTAAGCTTATTTTCCCCAACAGTAGATAAAAAATGAAATATATACGTGTATATTTTTTTGTATTAATATTTATTGTTTTTCGTTTAAACATTTTTAAAAGTTTTATTGCATTACAAATATTGCATTTAAGAGGAGTTTCTTAACTAAAACACTTGTCACACTATATAAACTTGTTGTCTCCTGCAAAATGTGGCTTACAATTTGAACTAAAATTTGTTTCTTGTGGCTCTGGTTTCTACAACGATTCTTTTAGTGTTTAATTCTACAGCATGTGAGGGACACATTGATTTGCCTCCGCTCCGATTCTTCTGCCTCTGCCTGAGTTCCAGTTGTAGCACTCTTCTTCTTCTTCCTATGCATTAGATGGTTTTCATGCCTCAAAGACTTTTTGTGTACTCGTTCACAATGTAAAAGTGAGTATATTGATTTTGTGTAGAGATTTGAAACTTGGTAGATATACTCGTGAATATCCGCGTCAGACAAAGTGTTAAAATTCTGGGGCCACGCCTACTTGGAGGCGGGCTAGCTGTTACAGTTTTAGAAGTTTGAATGAAATAATTTTGGATGAAGCGTAATAAGCTCCACTAAAAAGGGCCTCCAAAATTGTTAGCCACGCCCACTGCTGCCCCCTCAAACAAAGAAAATGTTTATGGTACGAAAATAGTTTTGCATACGCCCGCTAGGGGCGTGGCGAATTGAGGAAAAATGGCTATATTTGGCTTGAAGCTATTTTTGAAGCTGTGAACGAGTATCTGTTAGTCGGTTACACCCGACCGCAAAGTTTTTGGTTGTTTTTCTGTTTGGTTTGGCAGTTGTTTAGAGATTTTACAGCGAGTGTGTTTCTTTCTTTTTTGTTTTTTTTTCTTTGAGTGCATGAGGCGTTTTGTCCTTGAAGCGGGTTTAGCTTAGCCTAAAGGATTTGATTTGGGGCGCGGCAATTTGTTTCATTTCATTTCAATTGGACTAATAATTCGTTTAATTTATGCAATTGATTTAGTTGTCTTTGTTTTTTTTGTTGTTAGTTTTTCTTTTTTAGAAAATGTTCTTATGAAAATAAAAAAAGGGCAACTCAGACAAAAGTGTTAACATTTATTTTATATGTATTGACTACGGTTTTCTTTAATTTGTTTAAAATTTGTTTGCTTTATATATTTATATTTATAGCCTTAGTTACAACAATTTTATAATTTATTTAATCAATCGTTTTTATAGTGGGACTTTGAATACTTATTTTCATTAACTGCGGTAGGTTTTTTAAAAATTTTTATTTATTTTTAATACTTTAGTTTCAGAATTCTTGTTATTTGAAATATGCTTTTATTGGCCAATTTTTATGGTTATTATTTTATATTTTCTTTTCTTTTTATATACAATCAAAGAGTTTTCAAATATTTTTTTTTTATTATAAAGCTTTTGCCGTAGGACATTGAGATATAGAGAAAAAAAATATTGGCTGGAACTGAGCTGCAAGAGAATTTCGTTTAGCTGGGACTCGGAGAAGGTTTTCCGGCTGGGATGCTTACCCGAGATTGCAGCAGCTGAGGGGCTGAAAATTGCTGAGACGGCTGGGGAAATGGCGCAGAACTTAGGGATTATCATGGGAAAAACAAAGTACGACATGTTGGGAAAACGAAAAGAAACACAAACTGAAGCGTCGCCCAATCCGAACCGATTGGCACCTAACGCTGCAACCAGTTGCAGGCGCCCACAAGGATTCCCACGGTGGCCAGCAGGACCAGGCCGGAGACGCCGCTCAGCGCTGCGGCGCCATTGCAGTTGTCCGTATCACAGGAGCAGACCACCTGGCGGCCGCCAAAGCCGGCGCGCTGATAGCAATAATTGGTCGATGTTTGATTCTGGAAGCCGCAGGTGCGTATCACACGGCTATCTGGCGGCACTGCAATAAACAAACAAATAAATTTATATATAAATATGTTAAAGTTGCAGGAGGAGGAGGAGGAACTTACGGCTGTTCACGGAGAACTCAATGATCTGTGTGATCTTGCGGCAATAGGTGGGTATGCCCTTGCCGCGCGTCGAGTAATCCTCCTGGCAGTCCTTCAGCAGATTATCTGGCGGTATGTCCAGCGCACAGTTGGCATCCTTATGGCTGTTGCACACAAAACACTTGATGGCAGCGCCTGCAAACGAAAAATAAGTATACACCATTTAATTAGCTGCGTTCCGAAGTCTGAACTATTTATACTTTGATCTTATTGAAATGGGTAAAAAAATAGGGTATTTTTTGTGCAAATGTATGTGACAGGCGGAAGGAAGCATTTCCGACCCTATAAAGTGTATATATTCTTGATCAGCATCAATAGCCGGGTCAATCTAGCCATGTTCATCCGTTCACCCGTCTGTCAGTCCCTCCGTCCGTCCGTCCACCCGTCCCTCCATCCGTCAGTCCCTCCGTCCGCCCCGTCCGTTCGTATGTATGAACGCTCCGAATTCAAAGTCTTTAAGAGCTAGAGTCTTGGAATTTTGAACGTAGGTCCTACTACGAGTTTGTTTCCAATAATAATGGTCCGATAATCGATAACTTGCTTCGTTTCTAAGCAATCGATAACAATCGATATCGGAATCCTGTTTTTTGAGCAAATCTCTTAGGTTTAAAGATCTCCACATTTAGATTCAAGAAAAGTATATATAGATTAAGTATCTTGCGTTTAAAAGCCAATTTGTAAACTTAATTTTAATTACTGCTTAAGCAAACGAGCTCTTAGCGCTAGTTGAATGTGCTGTGGTCAGAAGTGAGTTCAGGGTATCCGCTAGTCGGGAACTCCCGACCAGAGCCTCTTACTTGTTTCCTTTTGTTACATAGGATGAAACTTTGCCCAGACCAAGAACTTTACTCAAACTAAAACCGAAACATTATCTTCTTCTTAAATATATGATAGAGCTTGATCGTACCGAATAATAAGTTAATGATTGATTGAAGGTCAGGGAATAGGTAGCTAAAATTTGTATAGATTCTTTTTTTGGGTCAGAAGCGAGCACCAAATCTGGCTTTAGAACTGCAAGTCGGGGAAAATGGGGGTAAATCTTCGTATGACAAGCATTTAACTAGAACACAGAAATAAATTTGTGCTAGCAACGTGATTTTTAGAGACTTAAGTGCCTGAGCGTCCAACTAATATGCGAAAGGTTGCCAGTTCTAATTTCATATTATTATTATATTCCTTTTAAATAAAAATATTTGAACAAAGTAACTTATCAAGCATTTATATGCTGAAAATATTAACTAAATGCAGCACGAATAGCTAGCTTTCCATTTACGAGATTTTCTATGCCATCTACCCAGCTCTCAATAGAACAGACAGAGAGTGTGATATTAATGAAGCTCCCTAAAAAAATTGCCAAATTTGATATTATAATTAACTGCAAATTTAAATGCTAATTTGATCAGGAAAAATGAGGTATACAAATTGCCTAGAGGCAAATCGCTGGTTCGAATCGCTGGTTCAACTCGCGAACGTACCTAGCCTTGAACCCAGAGATAATCCTGTCGCCGCAATCTTTCTCTTAATTGACCGTAAAGCAGAGGCATTTAGTTAATCAGAAAACTTTTCCATACACAAATAAATACTCAAGCTCACAAGCGCTTAACCTTAATTTTTTAACAAAAAAAAAAGAGAGAGAGAGAGAGCGAAAAAAAATGGGTAAACAAATATTAGACGCTGCATTGAGCTGGAATTTAGATTGAGACGTTGACTTAGCTAAATTGAATTTAAGGTCGACTTTCGCATTATTTCAAATACAATATTAAGAATCCGTTTTATTATGCAACTGCGGTGCGCTTTTGCCTCACACTGTGCCAAAAATGGCACATTGCATAGCCCCAATGCCCCCAAGTCGAGAGATGCGCCTCCATTAGTGCCTGCTCGTTAGGCTCTTGAGAGCCAGTCGCTAATTAGAACCAATCTCCGTCTCCGTCTCCGTCTTCATCAGCTTGTGCTAATGGACTTCAATAACTCGTACATGTTTTGTTGCTGTCTCTCAATATTCTTCACAACCCCCAAATGGGTTGCATAAGTGCCGGACAGCATTGTTTTCCACTCTCCTCCTTTTTTTTTTTTTAAGTCTTTTGGTCTGGCGAACAATGCACCTAATATAAGACAACGTACCCCAACACAACCCCCGCCCCCAAGACGGAGGAGTGCCTTTTATGTCTCCTACTTCTTAGTATATCAAACATATTAATCTTGCATAACGGCATGCCAAATATAGTTTGGTAGGGTATACTATATATATGAGGAAATATCAGAGGAAATATTACCATCACAATATATTCAGGGGATTGCTGTTACGTAGGATCTATTGTGCTCTGAGATAGATTTTAAAGAATTTCTTACAACTAATTTGTTTACAAATTCATTTGAAAACAATATAGCTGTAATTTACAATGAACGACTGCAACATACCCCGTATGCATAAAAACCATTCAATACAAAAAATAATTAAATAAAAAATAAATCACTAAGAAAAACATGTCGAGATGAAAATTGTCCTATTAAGAAAGAATTATCTTAGATTAAGGAAGCCTTAACTTAAAATTCAATATTTTGGAAAGCTAATAAAAAGCAATCAAATGAAGATTTTAAATTAGGTATCTAACCCTCATTTAGAAAACTTGTCCTTAAGATGAAAAACTTTAAAATTGTTTTCGAATAAGTATTGTTGAAGTTTCTATAGAAATGAATTAATTAACCACATCCTGTTCTGTTAGGGAATTTGAGTATTTACTATATATATAGTTTCGTTTTCAGAAATAAGAAACTTTTTTTGCAAATTTAAAATTCCTCTGAAGCCGAAGCTTTCCATTAAGCGAGTAATCACTGTACTGCATTTGATATAACTTTTAATCTTTAGCTTACTATTTCAGTCAATAAATAACAATAAAAGATTAGATAGAGGATAAAATACAAGATATAAGCAAGAGTTTTCTATTGATATAGATATAAATCTCCCGATTTTTTCCCATTTTTTTATATTTAGACATTTCCATTTCCATGTTTTTTATTGGAAACGCGCTGCCTGCGATATAATATAGTTCATCATTGTTTATTAAAGCCAATTAATATTGAGAAATTGATTGTTTGCGCTGTAAATTGACAAACCTATAAATACATCTATCTATAGTACATGTATATATATACTATATCTATAGTTCGTTTATATATGTACATATCGATATATCTGAGTTCCTTACGTCTAGCTTACAATTGGAAATATTGTAATCTTTTTTTTTGTATTTAATATTTTATATAAGTGCGTCGTTTGACTTGAGGATGGTTTGGGGGCTTTTGTCTGTCGGGTGTAAAGGGGTGGGAGGGGGGGGGGTTGCGGGGTCTAGTTGCAATTGGATCCAGGCCTGCTAACCGAGTTACGGGCAGGGCTTATAGAGAGCATGAGTGCGCATGTCCTGCGTTCCCATACACAAACACTCTCACATACATACGCACACGCACACTCTTACGCACACACTCACACGCACACTCAAGCACACGTACATACGCACACACGCTCGCACACATTTCACCCAGTTAAGTTCAGGAAGGAAAATACATATTGCAATGCGCCTGGTTAGATTTCTCTTTTATGATATATGCTAAGCGTAAAATGCAATAATGAGCTATGGATAAGCATGTTAACAACTACAGTGAAGACTCCACTAACGAGCAGCTACCTTGGGCGATAGACTCTATTAGTTAAAATTGAACTTAAGACGAAAAGGGCTGCAAAAAGTCTTGTGAAAGACTTTTTATCAACATTCCCATTTGTTTATCGTTAAAAAATAAGTTGAAAAATATTATTACATAAAATTTGAAATCGAATTGTGACAGAAATTTGTCCGCATATCTTTCCGAGTCTCTTCCAAAAGTCCCTTAAGCAAATATCTATCTCCGCTCAAGCGAGCTTTCACTGTAGTTGAATAGGAGCCCAGTCATAATGGGAACACTGGGAATGGGCATACACCCTAAGGGTCTAGGGGCTGGTCCAAGGAAACTGCAATTGTCACTCTGCCAGCTGGGTTCTGGCTCTGTTTCAAAGGATTTCTGGCCAAAAAGGCGCCATTGCGACCGGCTTCCAAGGCGGCGCCAAGGCGTCGCTCACTCTCTCTCTCACTCGCTCGCTCTCTCTATCTCCCATTTACTCTCTTGAACTGTAACTCTGTGACAACCCCCTGACTTCCACTCTGCTCTCGCGCCTCTCGCAGTGCCATAGTACACGCATTATGTAATCGTCAAATCGTATGGACAAATTTCCGTTTTCAGTTTTTTCTTTTTTAGCATTAAATTCGAGCTGTGTGTGTGTGAATTTGTGTGTGTGTGTGTGTGTGGGAGGGGAGAGGGTTTGTAGGGGCTTTACCTTGCTGCACGGCAATTGCCAAAATTAGCGCGCTAATCACATAGATGTACTGCATTTTTATCAAATATATTTTATTTCAATTGAATTGTATAAATTTACGATTCGAACGAGCTAAAACACGCGCTAAGCTTTCGACTAGCTTGATTTTTTTTATTATATGTATGTTATATGTTTTTTTTTTTGGGGAATTTTTGGTATGCAGCACAATTGAAAGAACACCGTTGCGGTTGTTATCTGTTGTGTACTGATTTTTTAATGTGGCTCTTCTTTTTTTTTTTTTTTTTAATAATTTTCCAACACTCTTTGCAAGCACGGAACGGCGCACGGTCACAGAACGAGACCGTCAGAACGACAACAAGCGACTGGAACTGAAGACGCAGCTTGCACGAGAAATGTGGCACGAATGAGCAGATGGCGTTCAGAAAGCCACAGGCACAGCTACAGCCAGAGCCCCAACCTAGGCACTGTGGGGCATTTGCGAGGTTTTGCGAGCAAAAAGATTAGTGCTTTAAATATTGGGATTTTGATTTACATAAGCTGCAATGTTACAACCCACAAGTGTTTGCATTACATACGGCTGTTAAGATAACAGCTGTTAAGCAGGTAAGCTGAATTTGTATTGCTCTCCAAATGCTTTACATTTCGAACTTAATTGGAATTTTATGTTGTGTTATTTATGTTTACAGCTAAAACATCTGCTTATCGGGAAATTCTCTCAATAGTAAGATAACAAGTAAATTGACTAAGATTAACATATAATTCTTAGTTTTGAGTAATTAATTTCTGAATTTGGCCCACTGTGCACAGTCGCAGACGCAGCCCATTCAGCGGCTAATGCCCGGCAAGCTTTCGCGTGAGCTTCCCAGAGAGCGAGTGAGCGACTGTGTTGTCTGTTGAGTCCTCGCGCTCTCGCCAGGCGCAGTCCAGGCGTTGCCAGACAGCTGGACTGAGCTGCGCAGCCAGGAAAGTTAAATAGTGCCACATAAAAATGGATTATTTTGTTCACCTTCAAGGCTAATGTAATTTTAGAAGAATTTTAATTCCCAATGACCACTGTGCATGTGTGTGTAGCTTAATCAGCTCGATAGCTTAGAGTTCTATGCAAATGAAGCAATTAGTGGGCAATTAAGTCCGCCTAGTTCTATGCTAGTCCTAACCCTGAGTGAGACGTTAAGGCAGTCCGTAGGCTGCCTTAGCTGTAGTTCCAGTATGGTTCACTGTTGGCACAAATTTGCCCAACATATTAATTAAGCTTAATCGTAAGTTTCCTTTACTTATCATCACACACCAAGTCGTCCGAGTCGCTGTCCAATTGAGTTGAGCTATCTTATTTTTTTTTTGCGATCATGCGTCGCTTTTGTGCCTCAATCAGAGCAAAATTGCAGATCTCTCCCAATCCCAATTCCAATTTCAATCCCCAGCCCAAACACACACGCACACACACAAGCACACAGACACACATTCACACGCAGTGCCTTGCCCTTTTGGCTGGCATCTCGCTTCCACTCGTCAGCTTAGCTTTTTCTATCTCTGTCGCAATAAGCTGCTGCGTTTAAATTGATGTCATTACCACTTTCATTTAGCGATGATGCCTATAAATAGATCTGGCAACTCTAGGGTTAAAGTACGCGTAGTCGAAATGCCGACAAAACAAACATACAGTGAAAGCTCCCTTGAGCGGTCAGCTACAATTTCAGCAGATATGTTTCTGTTCAATTTTTAAATAACATTGTACTATTCATACTTATCCAAAATACAGGGGTTTTTAGTAAAATGTTCTTGGGAAAATGTTCGCCAAAGACACTTGTTCGTGAGCAGAGCGTTAACTGTACTTTCAATTTTACGCATTAAGCCATTGAGTCATTGAGTATTAAATATACAGAGCAGGCTTTTGGATCAAAAGTTCTTTTTTTTTTCAAAAAATTTGAAGCAAGATACCGAGGTTGCAAACACAAATAGGAAACATAACACCCGGCTGTCGACAGTTACTTCTGCCATTGCCCAAAGTTCAAGGGCAACTTCAAAACATTTTCTAAAAGAACCAACAACAACCATAATCACAACAAACGACTCGGCAGTGAGAAAAGCACACCAAAAATCCAGTCCTTGCTATCCCTTTTTGGTCTGAGGCTACAGCCTTTGATCTTAGTTCTGCACTCTTCTTACTCATTGTTGTGGTTTCTAAGCACTGTTATGCCAAAGTCCCAAAGTCACGTCTTCTTCTTCTCCACTCGCTTTCAACTTGCAAGCTGCCAGGCAGATTTTTATAATACATACATATTTCATTTTTCGACCTACAAAATACCCTTTCTCTAATAGGATATTTTGACTATTGATCAGTGCTGCCACCAAATACCACTAACCTTCTTATATACAAATTTTTATTCAATGTCTGAGAAAAAAGTAATTTCGTATTTAGTGTGCAACTATTAGTACAATCAATAATAATTGTTTTCTTTAAACATTATATACCATTTCTAATAATTAGGGTATCAAAGCTTCGACGCTCCAAAAAGCTCATTTACCATAGAAAGCAACAACGAATCAGCTGCAAAACAACAACAGTGCGCATGAAACCCTATTTTTTTCGTCGTCTGTCTTGATCGCTGAAATTTTGAAGCAAGATTTCGAGGACATAGGAAACTCAGTGCAAAGAAAAGGGACAAATAATGCCACTGTGTTTGTTACTGGTTTCTCTATCGTTCCTACAAGGCAGCGCGTAGAAACAAGAACAACACACTTTTGGTTCTAAATTGTTGTTGCAGAAACGAGTCCCGGGGCAAGTAGATAGAAAATTCGAATGTCAGCAGGCCATGGCACTCAAATCAAAGGGTTACGCACACGGCGCACCAACACCATACATTATGACGTCACATATTATAGAATTTGATTTCTTCTTGATTAGTATATATTCCAAACTTCATTATGTACATTCAAATAATTTATGAATAGGGTCTTTTATAGTAAATAATTTATATGTAATAATTTGAAATACGAAATGATCGCACACAAAATGCCTTTAAAAAAGAGCTTTTGATCCAGAAGGCCCCTCTGTCTGTACGCGTATTCAAAATACAGTGAAAGCTCCCTTGAGCAATCAGCTACAATTCCAGGAGATATATTTCTGTCCAATTTTTAAAAAACATTGTACTTTTCATACTTATCTAGGAAAATTTTCGATAAAGAAACTTGGTCGTGAGCAGAGCGTTAACTGTACTTTAAATTTTACGCATTAAGCATACGCCGCGTTTGACCGCGCAAGTTTTCTGAGTAGCGCTTGCAAGCAGCAGTACGCGTGTGTTGTGTTCTCAGCTAAAAGCTTATCGAAGACAGCAAATACTGGTTCTAAACGAATTCCCATTATTTTGCACAGCACAATGAACTCATATATGCACAAGCTTTAAGTCGACTTGCTGTTGTTGTTGTTGTGGTTTGTTATTAATGCAAAGCGCCGCAATGTTTTGCAATTAATCTTCAAAGCATTACGTCACGCAGAATTTCTAGGGTACGGGGTCAGTGTGTGGCGGGTGGCGGGCGGCGCCTGTGCGGCGGGCTCGCGCAGACACTAAATCAAATCAAACCAAACCGGTTTGAACAAACAATAAAAACATACACATACATGCGCACAAATACACTTGTGCGCACACGTTAACTGGAGCTGATCACAAACAGACACTCACACACACGCACACTCATATTGCACCCTATAAAAAGCCGTTGTATGTGGTCATGTACGTGAGTGTGTGTGTGTATGTATGTGTGTGGAATCACCAAGGGAATCTGTATAATCAGCTGTTTGAGCGCGAGGCAGTTCGAGTTACTAAATGCTGACAAATTCAGAATTGTTGTTTAGAGCATTTCATTGAGCCAATTCGGATTCAGTTCTTTATGAACACGCCAAGCATTCTACCATAGAACTGCAATAGGAGATCTTGAGAAAATATTGTTCAAGGCAGTCCAAAACAAACATATACTCGTGAGTTGTTAAAACACTGCGCATATTATATAAACAATTGAAAATGGTTTTTTTTTAATTTTGTGAAAATATAGGTTATTTAAAAAACTGACTAATAGTTCAACGACGATTCAAATTCGAAGACAGAAAAGGTGGGTTATTTGGAATTTGTGCTATAATCAAGTTAATAATAGTATACATATGGTATATATATATAAATACATTTTTCTTTTTAAATAAAAGATGGGATTTGATAATTATTTTCGAAACTTTATTTGATTTCAATTATTAAAAAAAAAACTCCAAATTAGATATTTTTCGAATTTGAATACTGAAAGTAAAATTGAAAAATCTTTAAATATAAATCATAGTTAAAGCTTAAGTTGGTTCTTATTAAAGTACTTTACAGATGTAATTTCTTTACATTACATTTTTGTTTCAAAATTTCGGCTCCTTAATATAATAATAACATTTTTTGTCAAACTCGAACAAAAGACGAAGAAAAAAGTAAAACTTTTGAATTGTAAACAAATTCTTCGCTTGTTAATTGTGTGTACTTTTATGATAATAATTAATTTTGCTGAAAATAACTCACCTGACGCTTGTTTTGCACACTGAGTTACAAGTTGAGAACCGCCTAAAACCAGCTCAAGCCGCCGTTAGCCTTCGGCAATTGTCGAATTTTGTTATTTGCAGAATTATAGTCAGATATATGACACACATATATCTACCTATATATACATATATATACATATATATGTGTGTGTGTGTGCGTGTGTTCAAAATGCTGAAAATCAAAAACAAAATATAAAACCCGAAATGCCATGAACCGCGCTTGATAAGCTGCCCGGTTTTACTCGTTGTATATATGTACATTTGGCTCTGTAAGTCCAGATACTTGGCTGTCTGGCCTCCCATCTTCGGCTGGATGAAACCAAAGTGGTTGAGTTTTGGTAGCCGTATACCAGTTTTAACTAAACAGCCACTGATAAGCGTATTGTTTAGTTGTGCGTTCTCCGTATCACCGGAACCTAAATCGTTTAAAACACACAGACAACACAACCGAGCCAGACGACAATCTGAACAACAATAATAATAACAGCAAGAGATACAGTCAATAACATCATAATAAATGGATGTTTTCTTAAGTTTCTTTTAAAGAACGATTAGTTATCTTCATGATAGCAAAGCTTTAATTCCCTTGTAGACATAGTATACCTTTCAATACATACATATTTTTATACTATGTTTTTTGTCATGCCAAAACTTAATAGTTTATTGTTAATATGTGAACTATAACGTGGAAATATAGTATATGTAAAATGAACAGAGTAAAACTTGAAATTGATGAGTTTGGTTAATATAGTAAAAAACATAAAAAATGTCTAGAGCAGAAGCACTAACCAAACAATATCCCGTTCTGTCGCA